CTTCATCTTCGCTAGATCCTTTTATACAGCCGACCTACATGAGTTCGTTAGATCTCATGTTAGCCTATCGTTTCGAATTTGCAACCACGTTACCCTTGAAAAAGAAGGGAAGGGAATGGGGTTAGAGAGGCATATCGAAGTAAATTGTACGCGAGAGAGGTCGTAAATGGAGTTTTTGTGATGCCATATACCACCATGCTTGTCGCTGTATTTATCTTCTCATAGTGTATGAACAGTGAAGTAATTCTCGATGACCATGTTGTTAGAAGTGTTATATCCTATATGTTTGCTTACAAACCGAATCTTGTGGTAAAGTACGTCTACACCCAATAGGGGCTTGTTCATGATATTTTCGGGAAGATACCGTTGGCTTGGATGTGTGACAGATTTAGCAAAATGTTGATACCTCGTCGCTCCTCATCATTGCATGTCAACTTTTTTGCGTTTTCGGTTTTAAAAAGAGCACAGCAAAGTTAATTATCTTTAATCAAAAATGTTAATCTTCGTTGTAGGTTGTTGTTAGCTAAGTTTGGCGATACCCAAAGTCGTCTTTATGTTAAACAAATCATGTTCCATTGAGAAAGGTAGCAATGAGAAACTCAAATCATGTTTTATTGAGAAAGGTAGTAATGAGAAAATCGAATAAACTGAGTAGGTTTAAGTTTATTAGAAAGAGCAAATTTCCATTTTAGGTGTGTTATAAATTAATCAATAGTAAGCATATAAACAGAATTGCAAGTTATAGCTTTATCTATATACCAGTGCTTCACCTCTCCTTCGGAGAGGCTCGCACTGGCGCTTTGGAGAGCTAGGTTAACACTTTGAGAAAGTATTGATCTTAACCCAATAAGTCATCATATGCGCACCTCTTCTGAAAGTTTTAAAAGTTTTGGTCTTACCTTCCAACGTCTTATTGAAGAAGAAAGACGCAGACGCCTTTTATCCCGACCGCAAAGCCCGTTAGCGAAACGAATTGAACAACCAACTTATCACGTTTTTACAACAAAATTGCTCATGTTTACTTAGTGCGCTGCG